GGTAGATTTGGGTGCCAGTTAGCAGTGGGGAGCCGGTCGGTCGAGCGAACAGCACACTGGACTTGTGATCCTGTGGTCCTGGGTTCGATCCCAGGCGCTGGCGAGAAATAATGGGCAGAGTTTCTTTCACCTTATGCCTCTGTTATCTAGCAGTAAAATAGGTACCTGGGTGTTAGTCAGCTGTCACGGGCTGCTTCCTGGGGGTGGAGGCCTGGTTGAGGACCAAGCCGCGGGGACACTAAAAAAGCCCCGAAATCATCTCAAGATAACCTCAAGATAAGATAACTGTGCCTGGGATTACCTGGGCACGAGTCCTTTTATAGTAAATACTCAGGACCCTGGGAAACCCCTAGGGGAAGCGTGAGCCCAATGGATGTGGCCCCGGATTTTCCCCTCGATTTGTGCGAGTTAGAGGGTTGCTCTGTCCTCTCGTCTCAGGGTGACTCACTGTTTTGCCTTCGTCTGCTGCCTGTGGGGGTCGGTGACACCTTCGGCCCAGAGTCCTGCGAGTTTTGTTGCTTGTTTGTGACTCGGTTACCCAGTCATACGCTGACCATGTGTGGTGCAGGCAGCACAGGCGTTGCACGTTGGGTTTCGGTTGCGACGCACTAGGTTGTTTGCTCCCAGGAAACCCCGAAGCTGCCCCGTTTTGGTTGGTGGTCTTGTCGGGTCACCCCCCCCCCCTTCTTCCGCGTCCTTACCATCTGTGGGTTCGGGGTCGGGGCGGGGCTTCCGTGGTTCTGAGACTCGGTTGGTGTCGGGGACTTCCCCTTCCAGTGTAGCAACAGGGGCATTCGAGCCTGTTCCTCCAGCCGTGTTGTAAGAGTCTGCCAGTGGGCTCCCTTCCTTAGTATGTTCGCAGCTGCCCCGGTTTTTTCTTGTGAGGTTGGGGTTTTGGGGGGTACGGCTCGGCCCCGGGGCCTGCCTTGTGGTTTCCCGGGGCTGAGGGGGGGCTGACTTGGGGGGCCTCAGTCCCCGATGGACCCCGCCAAGGTTTTTTTCTACCCTCTTGGCGGGGCTTGCGGTTGCACGGAGTGGGGTTTTTCCTTCCCCACTCTCCGCACGAGTTGTTAGGCGTCGGCCCCTCCCCAGGCTTGGTTCCTTATCCCTTACGCTTGTTGGTTCTGTCCTGTCGGTGGGTGCTCTTCTCCGTTATTCGCCCCTTTTTCTTGGGACGGGACTTCTTCGTCATGTTCCCCTTTTCTTGGGGGTTCTGCATGACTTTTGGTCTCGGGTGCGACTGGGCCTTTCTGTGCCTTCATCATTTGTGCTTGCTTCTGTGTGTTCTCAAGGGTTTGGGAAGGTTTTTGCTCCTTCCCATATTATTGGAACGTATGTCATCTTTCGGTGGGGCTTCCCTCCAGTCCTTTCTAGGGCTTGTTGGTCCTCTTCCGTGCTTCCTCTTGGTTTTCGGCCGTCTTTTTCTTTTGTTCATGTATCTTCTCTGTGCTGTGTCTCGGCACTTCTCGTTTTCCTTCCATACTCCTGGTCCGGGATGCCGTGTTGGGCTAGTTGTGGCTCGATTGGGCTACTGTTAGCCCGCTTGGGTTCCGCTTCGGTTCATTGGTTTTCCTTACATGAGCTGGCTTTGTTTGTCGTTGCTTACTCCTGTTTGGCTTATGTTCCCATGCGTTGGGCTGTTTCTTAAGCGAATCACTTGGGATACACCCCGTTGGGCTACTTTTCTTCATGTCCTAGTCATGCGCCGTGGGAGTTTGTTTTGGTTCTGGGCGGTGTGCACTAGTGCTGGTGTTCTGCGTCCATTTTCTCTCGGGTGCTTCACCTCTCGTTCTTCTCTTCAGTCCGTGCCCCATTGCTCTTGGTGGTGTTCTGGAGTGCCGCTATGAGGAAGAAGAAACCAGAGTTATGGGGAGGTTGCCGGGGTTTTTATTTTGGGTGGGGTGGGGCGCCTCCTTCACCTCTCTCCCCCTCTTCTGCATGAGCGGCTCTGGCCTGCTTCTGCAGGCGGTGCTCCTGGTTTTCTCGGCTACGGGTGCACGATGCCCACGATCATGACAAATCCATTCTCGTGGATTTGTCATGACCCTTCCGTACATACGTTCTGCAGGTGAGTTTGTGCGGTCTGGTGTCTCCTTCGTCCAGGCGCTGTTTCGTTTTTGGGGGGTACGAATGGGAGTACATACGTGCATAAGAACATAGGACATACATACAGGGGCGCCTGCAGAGAGGCTGTTGGCCCTTCCGTGGCAGCTCTTGTTTCTAACCACCCGATTCAATCGTCAGATCACAGGTGACTGCGGGAGGCCTCTTGGCCCATAGGAGGTGCTCTTGATTATGCTCATCCAGCCCCTCTCCTATGCATGTCCAACCGTGCTTGAATTCGGGGCCTCACCTCCACCTTGTTCCAAAGTGCACAGGTGGTGGTGCCGGATGAGTGGTACTTGTTTATGTGTTGAGGGTGTTATGTACTCACCTAATTGTACTCGCCTGATTGTGCTTGCGGGGGTTGGGCTCTGGCTCTTTGGTTCCGCCTCCCGACTACCAGTCAACTGATGTACAGATTCTTGAGCCTGCTGGGCTCTATCATATCTACATTTGAAACTGTGAATGGAGTCAGCCTCCACCACATCACTGCCTACTGCTTTCCATCTGTTGACTACTCTGACACTGTACAAGTTCTTTCTGACGTCTCGGTGGCTCAATTTGGTACTTGGTTTCCACCTGTGTCCCCTTGTTCGCGTACCATAAGTATTAAACTGTTTATCTTTATCTACTCTGTCAATTCCTTTGGGAATGTGGTGACGTTTTGCTGCGGTTTTGATACTGCGGCTGCGTGTTGGAGGATGGTTGTGGTCTTCTGTTTGACCCTTCCGTGCTTCTTCCTGAGGCCTTCCTTGTTTGGGTTCTTTGTTCCCATGAATCTGGGTCCCTCATTCCTTGCCGGTCTTGCTGTATCAGGCTTAGCTTCTCCATGTTCATTGGCTTCTCTGTACTCCCTCGTTGTCCTCACCTTGTTGTGCTTGCTGGGAATGTGCTTTGGCTCTTCGTCTCGCCCCTTGCCTGTCATTCGATTTCTGTACAGGTTCAGGGGCCTACTGGGCTCTCTTATCTGCACTTGATGCTGAATGTGGGGTTGGCCTCCGCCACATCCCTTCCTCGTACATTCCTGTTGTTTCCTACTCTGATACTGGTATGCTTCTTCTATCTTTTATACGACTCATTTGGGCTTTCCACTCCCCATGTTTTCTCCCCCCCCCCCCCGTTACAAGTGCCACTTGTGTTCCTTGGCTTGTTTTTCTCTCCCCTGTCAATTCCTCTGAGGATTTTGCTTGTGGTGGTCTTGTCCCCTCTGGATCACCCGGTGGCGTGTTGGACTTGTCTGGCAGCTTTTGGTGTTGGTCCTGTCCCTTTGTTCCCGTTTGCTGCCTGTCTTCTTCGTTCCTCAGCTTCCTTTTGTCCTCCACGTTGTGTGTTTTGTTTGTGCCTTTTGGCTCCTATTGCCAGGTTTCGATTCTAGTTCCTAGCTTTCCCGGCCTGTTGGCATTTTCAGTCTCTCACAGTGTCCCTTCTCTGGAGTCTGTCGGGGTCTTGGTCTCCACCCTCCTGGCGGCTCGCTGGCACTGGGACGTTTTTCGGTATGGCAGACGTTCCGTCTCCTTCTTTGCCGGCTCGGGTTTTTGTATGGAGTCCTGCTTGGTGGCGACCACCACTCCTGCTTGGTGGTCGCACCCAAGGTCTTCCTGCGGCTCCGCCTCTTCCTCGGCTCATTCGACTCTGCCTCGAGTCTCGACTTCTGCTTGGTGGTCGGGGGGCTTTGTTGCTGGTGTCCCACCCGTGTGCTTCTTCTTGGCGGCAGTGTGGGGTATTTTGGCGGTCCTTCTTTTTTCCTTCTGACCCTTCTTAGGTGGCGGTGTTTTGTTGGCGTGGTCTTGCCCTTATCTTATGTGAGTTCAGGGCCATCATTTTGTCGCATACTGTCGCCTCGTTTTGTGTGGCGCTGGCGGAGCCGCTTGCGTTCGGTGTTGATGTTCTTTCTGCGCCATTCCGCACGCTGTCTCGTGCGTTGGTTCACCTCCGGCCTGCTCATGCGCCATCTGAGCCATCCTGGTCATGGGACTGGGTGCTCTCTCTTTTCTCCTCGGTTCTTGTGGCCCTTTTAGTTCCGGCTTGTTTCTCGGGGGCTCTTTTTCCTGTTGGTGTTGGCCTCGGGAGGGGGGGGGTCGGTTTGGTGAGCTTCATGCTCTCCTCCAGCACTGAGGTTTCTGCTCCTTTGGTCGGGGCGTTCGTTTTGTTCCTCTGCCGCCTTCTTCTTTTCTGGCATAGTATGTGACTGCTGCTTTTCGGAGGGGTCCCTGGGTTGTTGATGCCTTGTTGGTGTGGTTGGGGGAGCATCGTGTTTTGTGCCCGGTTGCGGCTCTCCGTCGTTTTTGGCGCGCCACGGCTTATGTGTTCGTGGACGCGCTTGGGGTTGATCCGGTTTCCCTTCTTCCCTGTTCGCAGGTGCGGGTCTCCTGAGTCGTCCTCGGAGTTATTAAGGCTGACCAGCCTGCGGTCTCTCCCCGTGCCTGTGACGTTCACAAGTTCGCGGCTCTTGCTACCGTTCCTTGGGACTGTGTCTTTGGCAGATATTCGGGCGTGGGGATTTTGGCAGTCAAACGGGGTCCTGGCTGCTCGTTGCCTTGTTCACGTCCTTATGCCCTGTCGGGCCTGTGTCTTTTGGAAGCAATTTTAACCATAATAGGGGGTTTGTTTTGCGACGCTTACCTTTCTGGATGCTTGACTTGGTCGATGGCAGACATAGAATACTTCCAACCACACGGGGGTTTCTATAGGCCATTGCTCCCCTTGCCTCTGAGGGGGCCAGGTTTTGGCTCGTGGTCCCTGGTAGGCCCTTAGAACTCCATACACATGACTGATGCCAAAGTCTGACATTAGCATATCAGCCTGAGATAGCTCCGGGGAGCCGACGGGTCTCGCCCAGAAAATGGCATTTCATTACATTCAGTGCTGTTTTTTTTCATGCATATAATTTCTTGCAGGTTCATTGGAGCTCCATCTCCACAAACAGGTTACGTCCTCAACTCTTCCTCTCGGCCCTTCTACTACACGCGCAGTCACAGCTGATGTTCAACCCCAATCAAAACCCTCGCTGTATCAGCCTCAAGCGGAGACCATTGATGACATCGTAAAATACATTGAAGCCACAAACCCTTCACCCCAGTCTTGTAGCCAAACATTGAGAACTGATTGTGCCTCATCTTCCTTCAATATGGGTAAGAAATTGAGTGTGTGAGCTTTCTGCAACACCACAACATGTTGTAGAGCCTTGGGACATCCTGATGCCTCCATAGTGGCAATCTCCAGGACACCCTCTATTGCCCCAGACAACCTGCCTCAATGTCCACGCTCCCATCCTTGCCCCTTCTCCTGCCCCAGACAACCTGCCCCTATGTCCACGCTCCCATCCTTGCCCCTTCTCCTGCCCCAGACAACCTGCCTCTATGTCCACGCTCCCATCCTTGCCCCTTCTCCTGCCCCAGACAACCTGCCTCTCTCCTTCTGCCCCAGACAACCTGCCTCTATGTCCACGCTCCCATCCTTGCCCCTTCTCCTGCCCCAGACAACCTGCCTCTATGTCCACGCTCTCATCCTTGCCCCTTCTGCCCCAGACAACCTGCCTCTATGTCCACGCTCCCATCCTTGCTCCTTCTCCTGCCCCAGACAACCTGCCTCTATGTCCACGCTCCCATCCTTGCTCCTTCTCCTGCCCCAGACAACCTGCATCTATGTCCACGCTCCCATCCTTGCCCCTTCTCCTGTCCCAGACAACCTGCCTCTATGTCCACGCTCCCATCCTTGCTCCTTCTCCTGCCCCAGACAACCTGCCTCTATGTCCACGCTCCCATCCTTGCCCCTTCTCCTGCCCCAGACAACCTGCCTCTATGTCCACGCTCCCATCCTTGCTCCTTCTCCTGCCCCAGATAACCTGCATCTATGTCCACGCTCCCATCCTTGCTCCTTCTCCTGTCCCAGACAACCTGCCCCTATGTCCACGCTCTCATCCTTGCTCCTTCTCCTGTCCCAGACAACCTGCCCCTATGTCCACGCTCCCATCCTTGCCCCTTCTCCTGCCCCAGACAACCTGCCTCTATGTCCACGCTCCCATCCTTGCCCCTTCTCCTGCCCCAGACAACCTGCCTCTCTCCTTCTGCCCCAGACAACCTGCCTCTATGTCCACGCTCCCATCCTTGCCCCTTCTCCTGCCCCAGACAACCTGCCTCTATGTCCACGCTCTCATCCTTGCCCCTTCTGCCCCAGACAACCTGCCTCTATGTCCACGCTCCCATCCTTGCTCCTTCTCCTGCCCCAGACAACCTGCCTCTATGTCCACGCTCCCATCCTTGCTCCTTCTCCTGCCCCAGACAACCTGCATCTATGTCCACGCTCCCATCCTTGCCCCTTCTCCTTTCCCAGACAACCTGCCTCTATGTCCACGCTCCCATCCTTGCTCCTTCTCCTGCCCCAGACAACCTGCCTCTATGTCCACGCTCCCATCCTTGCCCCTTCTCCTGCCCCAGACAACCTGCCTCTATGTCCACGCTCCCATCCTTGCTCCTTCTCCTGCCCCAGATAACCTGCATCTATGTCCACGCTCCCATCCTTGCTCCTTCTCCTGTCCCAGACAACCTGCCCCTATGTCCACGCTCTCATCCTTGCTCCTTCTCCTGTCCCAGACAACCTGCCCCTATGTCCACGCTCTCATCCTTGCTCCTTCTCCTGTCCCAGACAACCTGCCTCTATGTCCACGCTCTCATCCTTGCCTCTTTGCAAAATATAACTACTAGTATTTACCAAATATAACTTGCATTCAAGGCACTAGCTGACCCTAAATTTGATGTCTTATTTACCTATTTAACCCTTTTTGTTTTTCACACTTCACTGTTCTTTTCAACTAAGGCCTAATACTGAATTGTATATACATGGCTTTTATGCTAATTTCTCAATTAATCTCCAAGGTTTCTTTACAGTCTTTGTTTCTAGCCACTGATGCTTGGTGTTACAGTCTTTGTGTCTAGCCACTGATGCTTGGTGTTACAGTCTTTGTGTCTAGCCACTGATGCTTGGTGTTACAGTCTTTGTGTCTAGCCACTGATGCTTGGTGTTACAGTCTTTGTGTCTAGCCACTGATGCTTGGTGTTACAGTCTTTGTGTCTAGCCACTGATGCTTGGTGTTACAGTCTTTGTGTCTAGCCACTGATGCTTGGTGTTACAGTCTTTGTGTCTAGCCACTGATGCTTGGTGTTGTCTTCGACCATTTTTTAATGAATCTTTATTTTGCTTGAGCCTTTAACTCGTAGAAAGCTTTCAGGGTAAGGGAAAGCTGTAAGCCTGCTAGCAGGAGTCAGAAGTCAGAAGTCTTTTGCTCCTGTACCAACCTGTGGGAGAATAAAATTAAAACATCATAGCCCACTATTCTCCCGGTTTGTGGTGGTTCCGAGGATTAACGTCTCCACAGTCCGGTCTTTGACCAAGCCTGGTTGGTGGTATGGTCAACCAGGCCTGGTTGTAGGTGGCTGCTTGCAACCTGAGGTATGAATCACAACCTGGTTGATCAGGTATCCTTTGGATGTGGTTATCGAGTTCTCTCTCGAACACAGCTAGAAGTCGGCCAGTTATGCCCCTTATGTGTACACACCTTATTGATTAGGGTGTTTACACCATGGCTATATTAATTTACTGTTACTGGAAATTATTTGCTTTTAGGTAAGTAATGGCTTGTTTTATTGCACTCTGTGTACCTATTGCAGCTCTGCTTTTCCATGGAGCTATCTTGCACATCTTTCCATGCCATCTGGTCTCATGTGATGTTATCTCCATGTGTAGGTTTGGAAACACTCCCTCTAATATTTTCCATGTGCAAATTATTATGTCTCCCACCTGTGCTCTAGAGAATACAGATTTAAATGTTTCAATTGGTCCCATTAATTTAGATGTTTTATAGAGTGGATTCTAGCAGTATAGGCTCTTTGCATGCTCTACAGTCGGCAATTTATCCTGCTTTGAAAGGGGCTGTCATTGTGCAAGAGTTTACCACCCTAGAGAGCACTGGTGTCTTGAGTATCATTATTAGTGTGGCATCTCTTGTTTGAATGGTTCTTGTTATCCAACTTGTCAATTTTCTTGCAGTTGTGACAGCTACTTTGTGTTCTTTGAAAGTAAGGTTTGTCAACATAATTACAGTAGTACCTTGGAATACGAGTGCCCCTTGTGACGGTAAAGTGTTGGTGTTCGGCTGTTTCAAAAGCTAGGGGCATGGCCTCGTCACATAAAGAAAAAAAAGAGAAAAGCTGGAACTTTCGTCTGTGGTAAGGTAATGGGAAGACACAAAACACAAGTAAATTTAACAATGAAATTTTAATTACGTTAGAAAAGCAAGACATGAATAAAATTGAGCATAAAATGTAACAGACAAGTCAACAAACAAAATAATACGAATAATCACTGGCAAATGAAAAGTTACGTTAAGACAAGTGAGTAATAGCAAAGTAAATAATAATGATAGTGCCGGAATATTGGCTTCGAGCTGCCACCTCCCTTAGTACACGTAAGCCAAGGCTTAGTCTACCAATGAGACGTGTCACCTGCAAGGAGCACTGGAATATTCTGCCTTCTCTGGGTCCTGGTTGATGGGGTTCTGGTTGATACCTGGTTGATGGGGTTCTGGGAGTTCTTCTACTCCCCAAGCCCGGCCCGAGGCCAGGCTCGACTTGTGAGAGTTTGGTCCACCAGGCTATTGTTTGGAGCGGCCCGCAGGGCCACGTACCCACCACAGCCCGGCTGATCCGGAACTTCTCTTAGAAAACCGTCCAGTTTTCTCTTGAAGATGTCCACGGTTGTTCCGGCAATATTTCTTATGCTCGCTGGGAGGACGTTGAACAACCGCGGACCTCTGATGTTTATACAGTGCTCTCTGATTGTGCCTATGGCACCTCTGCTCTTCACTGGTTCAATCTTGCATTTTCTTCCATATCGTTCACTCCAGTACGTTGTTATTTTACTGTGTAGATTTGGGACCTGACCCTCCAGTATTTTCCATGTGTATATTATTTGGTATCTCTCTCGTCTCCTTTCTAGAGAGTACATTTGGAGAGCTTTGAGACGATCCCAATAATTTAGGTGTTTTATCTCGTCTATGCGTGCCGTATATGTTCTCTGTATTCCCTCTATTTCAGCAATCTCTCCTGCTCTGAAGGGGGAAGTGAGTACTGAGCAGTACTCGAGACGGGACAGCACAAGTGACTTGAAGAGTACAACCATTGTGATGGGATCCCTGGATTTGAAAGTTCTCGTAATCCATCCGATCATTTTTCTGGCTGACGCGATATTTGCTTGGTTATGCTCCCTAAACGTTAGATCGTCGGACATCATTATTCCCAAATCCTTGACATGCTGTTTTTCTACTATGGGAAGATTCGATTGTGTTTTGTACCCTGTATTATGTTTCAGATCCTCATTTTTGCCGTACCTGAGTACCTGAAATTTATCACTGTTAAACATCATGTTATTTTCTTCTGCCCAATCAAAAACTTTGTTGACATCTGCTTGTAGTTTTTCAATGTCTTCAGCAGAGGTAATTTTCATGCTGATTTTTGTGTCATCTGCAAAGATGAAAATCAAAGATGATTTTTGGGTCACTGCAGCCCAGACATCAACTAGTGGCGGAGGGTGGTGGGGCAGGTGCGACTGGACACCAGCCAATCAGCGACCGGCAGGCGATGGACAAGCAGTTTGCCGGTTAACGGTGGCGGGGGCGAGCAGGTGTGCCGGTGTGCTGGATACGTTTTGCTCTCTGGGCAAAACGTTTTGGAGATACTTGTTGGATATATCTTCTATATTATCTGTTGACGTGACGTACTTTGGAGGGAAGAGCAGGCTCAATCTCTCTTGAAAGAGATTATTGTCACAACTCTTCCCCGAAGCCTGCGGTTCTGGAAGAAGTACGTCGTTATGTGGTGGAGTACTAGGTGGAGTTGCTTCTACTTCATAAACTCTGGAGAGGGCATTGGCTATAATGTTGTCAGAACCCTTGATATAGCGGATCTCCAGGTTGAAATCTTGTAGGTATAAAGCCTATCGTAGAAGACGCTGGTTAGTGAATTGGGCTTGATGTAAGAAGCAGAGAGGGTTGTGGTCTGAGAAGATGGTGGTAGACCTGGCACCTTGTAGGTACGGAGCGAAGTGTTGGAGATTCAGGACAATGGATAGTAGCTCC